TTTCCAGACAAATGTTTACTACATTTCATGAATAAAAAAATATTCCAAACAGCCCAATACTTAAACTAGCTAATAAACTTATTCAGTTTGCATGAAAATATTAATAAACAGCTATGTATAAAACTTAACTATTTACTTCACAGAATGACAGAATCACTAAGGTTGGAAAGGACCTTCAAGATCATCAAGCCCAACCATTAATCCAGCACCACCATGTCCCCTAAACCATGTCCTTAAGTGCCAAATCCACATATTTTTTCAACACTTCCAGAGATGGTGACTTCACCATCTCCCTGGGCAGCCTGTTCCAATGCTTGACCACCCTCTCGGTGAAGAAATTTTTCCCAATATCCAATCTAAACCTCCCCTGGCGCAACTTGAGGCCATTTCCTCTCGTCCTATCACTAGTTAGTTGGGAGAAGAGACCAACACCCTCGTCGCCACAACCCCCTTTCAGGTAGTTGTAGAGAGTGATAAGGTCTCCCCTCAGCCTCCTCTTCTCCAGACGAAACAACCCCAGTTCCCTCAGCCACTCCCCATAAGACTTGTGCTCCAGACCCCTCACCAGCTTTGTTGCCCTTCTCTGGACACGCTCCAGCACCTCAATGTCCTTGTAGTGAGGACTTTCAGCCTTTGTGACCTAAGGATTTATACCTTCCATGTGGGATTAGCAAGCACACACACACAAGTCTGGTTGCTTTTTATCATAGATTATGCTAGCTACAGTAACTGCATTGAAACATACAGTGTTAATTCATTGGTATAAAATGAAAGTGTACAACCTAATTTCTCCATAAGGCTTACAAATGCCTTTTACATGTATCTGCTTAAAGCAGTGGACTGTGGAGAAATCTGTGGTAGAGAAAGTGGTTTGAACATGCTTTGCACATCCTAAACATTTATTTGGTTTTAGTGGGATTTTATGATGTTTGAAGAAACATAAATGAAGCAAAAACCACACCACAACTGCCCTTTTTTTAGGTATCTTGGATTTCATGGGTTTCTGTGTTACTTTAAATACATTCCAAATACAGGGAATACTTGTTTAACCCTCTCGGAACAGTAAAGCTTTGGCTGGATATCTCATACAAGATGTAAAAATTCAGTCTGATGCAACAGCTCTACTGGCAAGGGATGGCACTATTACATAAAAGTAGTAAAATGCTATTCAGAAATATCAAATGCTTTCACACCCCTGCATTTTTTATGGAATGATCATTTAAGTTAAGTTGTTGCAAAGAACTGAAGCCGTTTCTTCATCTATCTCCCTGTAAAGTTAGGGGCTGTTGAAATCACCAGTTATAATAAAACAATGCATTTGTAAAATCTGCAATATTTTAATTGAAAGCATTTCCATGTCAAGGTTTTGTGAAGGGGAAAGGAAGCTTTCTCTTCTACCCTGACATTGCAGCAAGGCACTGAAACCTGACTGTCACAGCCCAGTTGTTCCACAGCCAGTCACCTTTTAAAAGGGTTCTTATGTGGAACTACGAAAACATTTCAGCAGTTGGGAGTTTGATAGATGAGTTGTAATGAACATTGCTGCACTAGTGCAGTGTGTTACAGGTCTCAGCCCTCAAAAAAGTCTGAGTTTACCACCCTGTGGTAAAGTGGCTTTTCTGTCACTACGAGGCAGTCTAGTATTATAGCCTTATATTCCACAGATGCCAAAATCACCTGAATTATATTAATTTATCTCAGCTTTTGTGACATCATGCGTGATCTAATAATGTTTCCACACAGGCTGATTGGGACTTCACCCTATCATTCATCCTATTATGTGTCTACCTCGTTCAACAATCTCACAAAAGAGGGAGCATCTCAATTCATTAGAGAATTTAAGTATTGTTTTGTGGTGGGCTGGTGGGGGTTTTTTTGGTTAGTTTGTTTTGTGTTTTTTTAACAGTTGCTTCCACCAAGAGTTACTTGTTCACTAAGCAAACAATGCGCTGGTCACCAGCCTTCTTCAGCAGCAGCTCTGGACTAAACTCGCTGACGCACACGACTTTCAGCGCCTCTTCACCACGCAATGTGGCATTTGTTCAAGGGCCCGTCTATCACAGGCTGCAGCCCCCTTGACCCCAACACTGCGCAGCGCAGTGGCACACATGTGCCGCTATTACACTTGCCACACTTAAGACAGTATCTCCCTCATCAAAAACAAATATGAAACCAAATGAACCTTTTGGTTTTCTGAAGGCAGATGCCCAAGTTACACACACCACACATGCAAATTAGGCACACTCGTATTCAGCCAACTTCAATCAGCTTTTTTTGCTCTTTCACAGATGTGGACAGAATATCTCTTCCTATGGAGCTTCTCTAACCTGAAGGTTGTCCATGGGATAACTAAGCTTACCTTTTTCTTTGTTTCAGATATGTGTCTTGGGGAACTCTTATCTCATCCCCTGCACTCTGAAATTCTCAAATTCCCAGGCTCACATACAAAGCAAAAGATAACTACCTTCACCAGCTTGAGCCACGCGCCATAGAAAACCTTGCAGAGGGGAGGCGATAGGCCCAGACTACTGTTCATGTGCCTTCCCTTACATACTGACTAACGCACATACTGTACAATCACAGAGAGTGCACCTCAGGCTGTATCCCTATGACCCTGGAGCATGATCAACAGAATCAAGTGTCTCCATCTTAGCTGTCTGTCTGTCCTGTTTTCAAAACCTCCAGTGAAGGAAGGTTCCTCACTCGACTTGGAATAACACATTCTCCTTAGCTTAACTAGGTGTATTTTAAGGATATTTTCCTAATGCTTAACTTGCCTTTTAAATGAATAGCTGGTATCTACCACCAATGTGGAGAAAAGACTATTCCTATCTTCTCTATAGCAACTTTTTTCTGTATTTGAAGACTGTTTTCACATCTTCCTTCAGTCTCCTCTTCTTTGGCTTTAAGAAAATTTTTTTTTTTTTTGAGTGCTTTCTGTCCTCCAGACTCTATCCAGCTACTCCCCATCTTTCTCAGGTGCCCTAACATGGATAGGTACTTTAGGAAAGTCCTTATCACACCTCGGTAACACCACCATGCTTCTCACAGGCTACACTGTTGATGCATCCCATTATAATGAGTGTCTTTTCTGCAGCAATGCCTTCACAGTGCTCAGTTTGTCATACTCTGTACCATCCCTACCCCAAGAATTTTTATGCAGTTAATACCCACTCCCTTTTCTGTACAGCTGACTATTCCTAAGTGTCATTCTTCAGGTGCCTTATTTTTCCAAATAATTTCTCCTATTTTTCATGAACCGTTTTAATTCAAATTTTGTCTGCCAGTCTGCTGCAGCCCTGTCAGCTTTGCATGCATTACCTAGATGAATCTAAAATTATTACCTCCAAATGAGGACCCACCTCCACCTACCCCACAGAAAGCCTAATTTCTTACATTTTTTTTCCCCCCCATACTGCTTCTTTGAAAGCCAGTTTCAGTCTGAAGACTTGCCACATACAGTTAGGGACTTCTAAGGACACATTCCAATACCCTAATGAGCTTTAAAACACCTCCGGCCATTTAAATAGTAATAAAAGCATTTGATACAAACAGATTTCCTTCTGCTAAAATTCCTCCCTTTCAAATCTAGTTTTAAATTACTCTAACACGTGGAAGATTCAAATCTCGACAGTCTTCCAATCACAGAACTGTCATATTTTAGCACAGCCCTACAAAATTAGTCATAGAAATTATGTGAACTTTTTTTTTTTGAAGTAGAGTTGTTATCAAGAGTTATTTTGTGACAGAGACATCCTTCCTACTCCTTGAGACTTTTGCAACATTTCCTAATCAGTGAAGCTCTGTGGTTTTATAATAATTTAAATTTTTCTCTAAGACCTCCATTGGTAATTAAGGCTTCTGGCTTTACAAAGGAAAGATAAAGAAACATTGCTAATACAAGTGTTTTAGGCTGTTTGGTGTTTTTTTTGTTGTTTTTTTTGTTTGTTTGTTTGTTTTGTTTTTTTAAGGAGTTCTAAACTGCTTTAAGCTTCATATACGCTATATGCAGTATATGTAATGTTGGTATATGGATTTAACTAGCGTTTCTTCAGGATGTTCTGCAGCTTGTTGCTGGCTTGGCCTCTGAGGTAACTACCACCTTTTCAAACTTGTTCCGATACAATGAGTTTTCATAATGTGTTCCATGCTATCTGTATATAGAGGCTTGCTACAAAAGAAACCTGTGATTCCTCATATATCTCTATTAAATACAATTGTGTCAATGTCTCCCACTTGAATGTTGTGTGGACATGATCTGGACTGATAAGAGAAAAGCACAAACAGTTTTGTTAAGTATTTTCAAACAGTATGTGGCATGTCAGTTTGCAAAAAATTAACTTTTAATTGCATCCAGAAGATTACAGTAGAAAAGTGTTGGGGTGAGGGATAAGGAGCCTTTCCTTTTCATTCTACCATGGAATAGACTGAAAGAGAAACAATTTTGTCATTCAATAACAAAAATAAAAAGTAATCCTTAGCAAGTTCTTGCATTATTGTTTCCAAACTGTTCACCGAAACCAAAACAAAGGGCCAAAATATGCATGCCTTGCTCAAGAGAATAATCCTACTGAAATCAAGAAGACTAAATATGGACAGCAAAGTTTGGCCCCAAATAAACATCCCCATAACTAGGGAAAACACTAATCACCAAAGTGCACTTAACACCATAGTAGCTACAGTTTCTTTATACATGCACAGTTTGTGCGACACTTTGTACATGAAACTAGCCAATGGAGTATAAATAAGTGTGCCGCTTCCTTTTTAAATAAGAACATTAATAATGAAGCACATTCACATTTTTGCCTTTCAAAGACCTTTTTGAAGGAAAAAGAAAAATAAAAACACCTTCCCCAAAGTAACCTGGAACATGTTGTTAAATATAGCACATAGGATTCAAAGAACGGTATTAAGGTAGAAGAACTTTCACACACAAAACTGGTATTCGCTGTATAGTTGGAGTGACTTATGAAAATCCCAAGAAAAGACAATCCTCTCACCAGGAGAGGAAGGTAACAGCTGTAGTCTTAATTTAGTTTCTTCTGCAGGGGCTTGTTTTTATCTTGAGCATTTTCAGGGCTGAAGTCAGTACAGATACCATTAGGAGCAGAAAGAGATGAAGTCTCCAAGCCACTCTCAGCTCCCATCTGATCAGCATAGAGATAGTCTTCTGCAAAGTGTGGGTGCAATTCAGCAAATCTGTAGAAGTCATCTAAAAAAAAAAAAACCAAAAAAACCTTGTTGTTACTCAGAATCAGCTCTTTGAAATAGAAGGACTCTAAATTTGAATACTTACACATATATAATCACACGATCACTTCGTAGAAAAATAGCAGCAGTTAACATAATGCTTTTCCCATAGCTTGTTTTACCTTCTCAGCAGAAGTTTACCACATGCCCAGAGCTGAGATGCAGGGAAGAGTTGTCTAAGCCCTCTTAAAACACTTCAGACCAGAGCTTAGCTTGTATGGTGAAAGCGTAAAGAGGCTCAGATTTGCATTAAAATGCATGGGGAGCACCACATGCCCTGACATAGCATCTCGCTGTTCACTGGGGAAGGGCAGAAGCCCTCCAGCTGAGGAACAATTAACAACAAGAGTAGTCATTTCTTAAAATCTGGAAAGTCTTTTGCAAACATGCTCTTTAATGCTTTGCACTCATAATTCTCTTCAACCTAACACCAGCTGTCATTGCTGCCTTCTGCTTTTGAGATTTCAGCATTTCTAAAGTCCTAATGTTTTAGAGAATAATATTTTGAGAAGATAATTAATTTGTAACACATTATGAAAAAAACTGATTTTAATGTTGGATACTAGTAAGACAATAAAAGCAGCAAGATTAGTTGTTGGGGGAGCGGGGAATCCTTAGCATCAAGTAGTAAAATTTGGTGTTAAAAATCAGACATTGAAGCTGTGCCACAATTTGCCCATATGACTGTTTATTCAGACATTATTTGAACACAAGCTACTGTACAGGATCCAAGTCATAAAAAGCTATTCTTATAATGTAAACTGACACTGGAAAAAGCTGGATGTGAACATTATCACTCAGTCACCTACAGTGTATCACATACAGCCCACTCAAATTCACTGTGCTATGCCAGAACAGCTCAAGATCAGATGATGCTCCGAGTTCCCTGGAGTGCCGCACAGATGACAGCTGACATAGCCTTTCAGAGGAGTGAAGCCCAGTTCCTCCTGGTACAACTGGGCTGGTGCTGGAAGAAGGGAACTACCACAGCTTGCTTTCTCCACCACCTTTCTCTTTTTGAGACGGCATGTTTTTCTCAGTACTCCAAAGGGCAAGGAAACATCACTTGGCTCACAGGGGCACTGAAGTTTACATCAGCCCTGCCTCTGAATTGCTGCAAAGGGATAGGTAGGAAGAATGCAATAAATATAACTTCAACCTTCCACGAACAAAAAATGGGTATCCTTTATCCACAGTTTATATGGATCTAAAGTATTGTGGACCCTGTAACTTCAACAAAAGCTGATGATGTTCAGGCCATGAAAACCAACACTACCACCTATGTTGAAAACCTGTATGTACAACAGGCTGCTTGATCATGTAAATGATAAAGTCTTCCAGGGGAAAAAAAAGAAATCTTAAATGTTTGAAAATGCATACAGCAAAAATTTTTCGTTTGATAATATTTAATGCCACTTCACCTTTCAAAAAAAAATAATCTCATAGCAAAGGATATGATGCATCTGGCCTTTTTCAAGAAGGAAATGTAGAACTTTTATATTTAAAATATTTAACGGTGGTAGTAGTTGCAATAATACATTAGAAACACTTGAGTGCAAACTGATTTATCAGAATCAAAAGTTAAGCACATTCAGTGAATCAAACTGAGTATTTTATTTTTCTACAGCTAACAAGGACAGAGCAATAAACGATCAGCCTTAACTGGGTCTGGCTGGCAGCAGGAACATGAAAGCATTCCCTTTTCTCACATGGACACTTTAAGCCCATCCCAAGGATCTATTTATTTTTGTAACATCACATATAATGTGTGCATCATATTAATGACCATTAAAAAATAGCTTTTTTGGGGAAAGGTCACTCTGATAGCTAGCCCGACTAAGGTAAGACAAGTATAAAAATTTCAACCAACTGTACCAGAGATGCTCTTACAGTCAACATTAAGCATAATCCTTTCTGCTTGGGAAAGACTAGAATATTTACTGTAGATGCCATTCTAAGTAATTCTTCAAAAAGCTACCGTATCTTTTCAGAAAATAAATTCAGAAAATCCCTTGAAGCAGTTGTTCACACAAGTACGGTAGTCTATATCCAAAAGGGCATCCTGGCAACTCTGTTCGGATCCATCCCTCAATGTTTTATCAGTACTGCATCCAAATGGAAAACCTCAGATCCCAGGGAGGACTTAATTGAACAAGATACTGTTTCTGATAGGTCTCGGTAAGTAGACGTTTTGGGTCTTGCTGAAACAAGTCCTGAAAATATTAAGGAATCTTTATCAAAGTTGTACACAGCAGAGCCCAAAGAAAAGTGCTTGGGATCCCATTTGCCTCATTCATCAGAAACGTGAGACAAGGTGAGGCAGGAATAATGACCTATTCCAGCATTACTTCTAATCACAGGTCTCATGTTGGAGCTCAAGGTTAAAGCAACTGTGAAGCATTAGACTGGAGGAGATCACCGTAGTCATTTACTTGGGAAAAAAGTAATTTTGCTTCCTACCCCTACTAAGAGGAAAGAGACAAAAACACGGAAAGACCCTGGAGTTAAGACTCCTGTCCATATTTTTGCATTAAGTATGCATATGTGCTACAAGAACTTCAAGAGGTTTTTCTCCTGCCTTTGCAATACCCTCTTACTACTTGATGCTCCTGATGGAAGCTGTATGTTCATGAATCTCCTCTAGTTTTTGCTCCTTCTCAGCTACATAATCACTTTAGTGTATGGGAACTTAATAGGATAATTCTGTGGTTAATATAGGTAAGGATACTACATTTTAAAGGACAAATAATTCTTCTCTGAATGTTCATTCATACGGATATTCACAATACAGCCAGTCCCCCCTTTCTTCTTGTTACCAGCAAGCAAGGCACTCTTCAGAACACTTTCAGTCATCATTTGTCTATCAAGAGCAGGTGGAGTGTCTAGGAGTTTGTGATGCCCACCTACAGAACCTATTCAAATTCTCCAGAATCATGTCCCTGCTCATTGCAGGGGGGTTGGACTAGATGACCTTTAAAGGTCCCTTCCAACGCAAACTATTCTATGTTTTAAGATTGAGAAATCTTGTCTCTCTCTAGATTACAGTGAGGGGATGGGCTTTGGAATCAAGGTGCATCTAAATAGTTAAGCCAACAGTACATTGCTTAAGGGAACTGATACACAGATCGTTGGCAACTATTTTCAAACATGCAACAAAAATCCCGACTTCTAACAATTCATATCCAAAATTATCAATATAGTTATACAATGTCAATCCGGCTATTGGTTATTCTGTTTACTTGCAACCTGAGCTTTTCCTTTGGGATGAGATCTCTGGCTGCAAGGACTCTGCTAGATGTGCAGCAATTTAGGTTTGATACCTTGGATATTTTATTTTTTGTTCCTACAGGTAAGACTGAAGACTTAATATTCCTGCTTCATATTCCAACACCCTAGAAAGAAGGAGCTTGTGAGCAGACCCCTCTGCTGTGTGCATCCAAAGTGAGGTCAGTACTCTTCCACCAGATACAAAGTTTTCATTTCTCAGAACTTGTCTGAACAATGCCTTCAGAAAAGGTGTAGTCTACAAGATTTCCACCTCTCCTTTCTCAGTATTTAAGTGCAACAAGTTGAGTATGTGGAAAACTGCACGTATTCTCAGGAAAGGCAAGAGACTGGATATTTATGGCAAGAACTTTCAAGACAGAAATGCAATACCAAAGGTTTATCTTCTAATTCTCTATCACATTTTATTCTTATTTATTCTTACTATTAACCTTTCAGATACGTTAAAATCTTAGTGCAATGTTTATATTACAAAATGAGCACTTCTCTCAGAAAAAGATCCAAGCAAAGTTTCAAAGAAATGATGTGAACACCATCCTACTTTGTGTAGACTCATGAAAGACTACAGGAAATAAAATAGTTAAAATGAGAGCTAAGCACTTCAGTGGCACTCCTGTGGCTCAGTGGTCCAGATTTTCTTGTGATGGGAGCATACCATGACCACTTACTTGCATTTAAATCTGCACTTTTTTCCCCTAAGTACTATTAAAGATGGATATTAAAATATGAATTCTTTGGCAACTCACATGAACTGGCCTGAGTTCACTTGTACATTCTTTCAAGTTCAGTTATTCTCAATGAAGTGTGCCAAAATTAGAGTTCTGCTAGTCTTACCAGCTTAAGATTCTATGCTGGTATTTCTGACGCTGGTGATGGTGTGGGGGGGGAGTTGAGTTACCGCCTAAATGAGTTGGGAGACAAGAGGCAACAGAGATAGGCAGGAAAAAGGCAATAGTGTACAATGGGCATGGAAATGCTGGGGACATGACAGATGAGAGGCACAGAAAGGAAAAGGGATACTGATTATGCTGAAGGAAAACCACTAGAACAGGGCATGTCAAACACTTCTACTGGAGATACATGAGATGTTGACTATCAACAGCTCAGTTCATACTAAAATGATAAAACTAAATTTAGAACCTTACTGCATAAAAGATGAAGAATCTGAAGTAACACACACGTACTTTGATTCCCAGCATAATTTCTTCACCCAGATCTCACAGTTTTTCAAATGCAACTTTCTCACTTTCATATCCCCTGCATTACAGACTACATACTGAGCAGCCTGGGAGGGCAGAGATAGTGGGGAACAGATACAAGAGACAAAACAACAGGACAGAGCTAAGACAGCTTTCTTAAAAATACATGTTTATGTACATGGAAGTCACAGAACAGAATATGCTGAAAGAGCTAATCTAGGTATTGTCTGACAATGTGGAAAGGAAAACCTCTAAAAACATGTAAATCTGACGTTTGATAATAAACTCAAATACTTTTTTTTAACTGTAGATTTGCTTTGTCTGCAGTGATTTTACAATTCTTAAAGTAAACAAGTCAACTAAAAAAGGTAAAGTTTAATAAAAATATAACTGGTTTGTATATCAACATGAGTTCAGACAACTTTGACGTTTTGTGACAATTCAGATCCACTTAAAACACTTACCATATGTAATCTCTCCTTTTTCTTCTTCATCTACAGCTCTAAAAAGATGTGTAACATTAATCTGTGACACACCCATGGCAGTCTTCAGAATATGAGCTAAATCCTCTTCTATTATAGTTCCATTTTCTGACTGGTACAGCTATGAATCAAGACAGCAAGATAAATAATTACAAAGCTGAATGCTCACTCCTATAAACAGGACCACACTAAGTTACGCAAAATTAAAATTTGGTATTGGAAATTCTAGTTGCTCTCAGATTGATGTGATCTACTACGGATTTCTAATTAGTCTAGGTAGAAGACAACATTGATAATTAATTCATCTGTGTACACCTAGAGAGCAAAGCTTGCTATATTCAGAGATACGTGCCCAGCCTGGCACTTTACATGCCAAGCTTCCTGGCACGTAGCAAAGGTGGGATGTCATCGGAGCCCCTGAGGCAGAAGACTTCTTTTGGCAGTAGGCAAGAGGATCATAATGCAGCTCAGGATTAATGCACTCAATACCAATAGCCGGCCCACACTACCACCCACCACTTAAAAGAAATGCACAGATTTGCCATTAAAAGCCACTGATGCCCGTGCAGGCGAGCCGGGCAGAGCTGTTTCAGCATGGGCTGTGATCAGCAGTGAGAGTGTAGATTTAGACTAGACAGAAGGAAGAAATTTTTCACAATGAGGGTGGTGAAACACTGGCACAGATTGCCCAGAGAGGTGGTAGCTGCCCCATCCCTGGAAACCTTCAAAGTCAGGTGGAACGGCACTCTGAGCAACCTGATCTAGTTGAAGATGTCCCTGCTTACTGCAGGATTAGATGACCTTTAAAGGTGCCTTCCAACCCAAACTATTCTATGATTCTCTGCATCATTGAGAAGGTGGGAACTGATGAGATTGAACAAACCAGGCCTAAGAATATATTTTTCACACAAGCAGAAGTTGATGTCACGAGACAGCTCACCTCAATGGTATAAAAAAAGTCAGTGGAATAAAAAACCTGTAGTACCGTTGAAGACAACATTCATGCTCAAATCAGGAATTTTGCCTTTTCCTCCCCAGCACCTTAACTTGCACACTGTTTCACAAGGAGTAGGGGCAAGGCCAAGACATTTGTTTAATAAAACCTGCTACATTTCACAGATCAAGTAGTCAGAAGGTGATACTTGATGGTAAGGCTCACAAGTGTCATACTGGCAAGATTTACAACACCCTTTTGTTTCCTTAGCAATTAGAAAAGGAGGCTGCATAGCACTTACAGTGGAGTGCTGCTCTTAAGACTCAACTGCCATAATCCTCCCTTCTCTTTTAATTGCCCACTGCTTTAGAGCTCTGGTAGCTCAGTAACTCCTATTTTTCAAGTTCTTCAACCATATACTAAACATTTCCACTCTGAAAACTTGTTCAGCTATGTGAAATGTTACACTTCATCCCTGAAAACAAATGACAAGGTGTTCTGCAAAAAGTAGCACATGGCAGAATACAGAAACTGTTTGAAGACACACTTTCATGAACTGGCCAGATCCTTCAATGGCGCTCAGTAAGCTGTGTGAATATCTTATGGTACATGAACCCAGGAAATGGGGGGAAGAACGGATTTTTTAAAAAAAAGTTCTCTCTTCCTTTTTTCTATAATACTGTGAGCAAAATTTCCTCAGCTTGAGACTTTTTTTAACCCTTACAGTCATCACTATCAGGATAAAATGAGCCAAACCTGTCTCCCCTTGCTGAGTGCTTCCCCTTCTTCATACATTCATAGAACTTCTTTGTAGTTCCCTTTACATTTTGCAATTAACCAGGGCACTCATAATTATGTATTATGAGTTGAAGAGTGATAGTGAAGAACAAAATTTTTTTTAAGAAACAGTTCTATTAACCTAAAGTTAGGTGCTTCCAAACAGAAAATAATTGCCTAATCTGAGCTTTTCTTCTTCTAAAATTGTAAAAGTATATTGCACATTATGCATCATGACAGCTAAATTTCACTGAAATACTGCCCAAAAGCCACCTTTGTTTACTTTAAGCTTGTTCATGTTAGTATGAAGACCCAGAGCTGACCAAACAGCACCTGACCATTTCTCTACGCCGTTATATAGATCAAATAGAATAAGGGTAGAGACCTTTCTGTTTTTCCTTCACAAGTGGCAGTAACTAACAAACTATTAGAGGCAGAATTTCCCCAATATTTGTAGGTAGAAACAAAAATATTTAGTTCCTCCTTTGTCAAATTTGTTTGACACTGGCCAAAGGGTAAGAATGATCTATATGAACACTAGACATTCACAGGAGCCTCATTTCTTTAGCAAAACATAGTAAGAGAATAATACAGGTATGCTGAAGAACCTGGAAACAACTACTCAGAAAATAAGGCTATGTAGTACCATACTAATGAATGTTCTCAACTCCATGCATTCGCCAGTGATGATGGCATCAAGAGTTAGCACTAAAGACCATGTGAGTTCAAGGCAAAGGGAAAAGATGATGCAGGATGCAGCCAAATTTGTGTGTTGAAAAAGCAATATTAAAGAAATGAATTTAAAATGAATAAATCAAGGTGTCAGACAAAGATAAATGGCAAACATTAAGTATTGCTGCTGTCACTTTGCCAGAAAGCCTGCATTAACCATCTATGCTGATGCTACAACAAACCACTAGAGGCTAGAACAAATCAGGACCACTGCTGGGAAGCATGAAGTCAGGGCAGAGACTGCAGACCAAAACAGAAACACAGTAAGAGGGAAGAAAATCTTACCAAGATGATAAAAGCAGGTAAAAAGATTAATCTCTATTAATATGTAGGATAAGTTTTAAAATATTTTATTAACTTGAAAAATAAGATTTGATTGAAACATTATAAAAGTAATAAGCACAACTCATTAGCCTTTAGTTTAGAGGAATCAATACAAAGAACTTCAGGTTTGAGACTCAATGTGCTGAAAGAGATTCTACTAGAATTCCACAGAGAACAACTTCAAACTTCCATAATTTTACACAACCTAAACTTGCACTGCATTCCCTCTGAATCTAACTTTCCATTAATGTTATTGTGAAATGTAATTAAGTATTAAAAGGGCATGTGAAACAATCTCCTGTTCAGTCTAACGGCAGTATTAATAATTCCATAAAAAAAAGTAAACTACATAGAGGAAGAAAATGCTGCTTACCTGAAATGCCAACTGAATTGTTTCCAGAGTTTTGGATGGCTTACAGACAACTGACAGAGCAATGACAAATTCCCGAATGTCAATTATGCCATCTTCATTCTGTGAAGAAAACCTCACCTCAAAATACTGCAATTTGTCCAAGAACTTTCATAAATAACTAACAGTTGCTAAAGATGCAGAATATTCAGAAAGAAATGCCACTGCTAAATTCAGAATTCAGAAAATGAAAAAAATTCAGAAATGCCACTGAAAAAAACGTCTCACTAAAATGGAATTAATTCAGGGCAAGAACCCAGGTCAAAGCTCTGCAGGCCCTTTTTAGTCAGAAAGTCATAATTCAGAAATTCTTGGAAGACAGTGCTGCTACTGTCACCCTTCACTTGCATATTTAAGATTTTAATGTTACACCATCTGAATTATTGGGTTGAAATTAAAATCAGAGAACCAGAGGATAAGGTAGCCTAATTTAAGCCCTGAATACATGACATCTGCTCTTTGGTTTAAAAGAGAACACTGTGGGCATATCCATCTCCTGGTCCAAACAGCATTCAGACAAAGATAATAGTAATTTCCCCATCCTGACTGATTTCCAGAGGAATGAAAAACTGGCTCATTTGCCAAGTTCCTAGGTTCTTCCGGTTTCAGGCATCCGAGAAGAACAAGCAATTTATTTACAGGGTAAGTGAAATATCAGCTAATAGGCATTATATTCAGTAGCAACAAACCGCAGCAGAGGTTTAGCCTGAACCCATCTTTCTTCCTTTTCAAGTTTTGCATCTAGAAAAAAAATCAGTTTTGTCCAACTGACACTGACACTCCTTTTAACTTCTACCTGAATGAATGCTTTATTCAGTTTATGATAGATGCTACTACCTTGCTGAAAGGGAAATGCAGTAGGCAAATACTGTGGTGAAGTGCTCAAAAGCACTTAGCACTGGCCTAAATCAGACTCAGTGAATCCAACTGGAACAAAATTAGGCTAAAGCAGAGGTTACCAAAAGTAGCACAATTCTTAAACATGGTGTTGTTTCTTACCTCATCAAAAAGTGCAAACATACTTTCTAATGTGTGAGAAACTGGAAATTCCAAGTATGCTGAAAAATGTTTAAGATCAACCTTTTCTTTTTTCATTTTCATGGCACTTGCAGCATATTTATCAAGATCATCTTCAAGTGTTTCTGGCTTAAGCCTAGAAAGCATGTTATATTTGCACATTTAAAAAATAAACACAGTTTTAACAATACCAATTTCAATATATCAAATGAAGCAATGAATGATAAAGGTGAAAAACATCACAAAATCTGGAAAGAGAATTACTAAGCAACTTTATAATAAAATAATGTATTCCTGTAATTTTAAGGCTCCCATTAGTTCTTGAACTATATTAGAAATTACTGCAAGGGCTTAGGAACCCTGGACATAAACTTGTGTCCTTTATTCTACCTTGATTATAAGTCATATGTGCAAGCAGTTCAACATGAAGAAACACAGTCAGTCTAGAACTAGCTAATAAGAAATACCAGGCATGGAGAACTAGGTGGGATTTAGGTCACATGAATATGGCCATATTGTAGGACAGCAATATAAAGCAATTACAATTCCAAACTTACTAATGTCACTGAACAGGAAAGACCTGATGCATCTTGCCTAAAAGAAACCAGGGATTTACATAATAGTGATTATACTGTTAATCCTGTTTGTCAGTCCTCATTTTTCACATTCAGTCTGGAGTTGGACACCACTACAAGGTTACCAAACAAAGTATAGAAATTAATACAGCTATAGAAATTCCCTCAGTCCTCCTCATTGCAAAACCAGATTTTGACTGATGACATTTATGCAGGTATCTACTGCACGGTTGTGTGTGGCATTTTTTTTGTTAAATCAAGATTCCTGTTTTTGCTTTGCGAAAATAAGCCTTACTATGAATATAACAAATGGTGCTGCAGGTATGTGGGGAAAAGTAAACTCCTTCTCTAATACATGTTGAACTACATGACCTTATAAAGGTCCCTTCCAACCCAAACTATTTTATGATTCTATGAAATCTTGATAAGCAGGTTTCCTCTGAACTGATTTAGAGTAACATGGACATCCAAGCTTTCCAGTCTGAAGACAAAAGAAGCCAGCAACATCTTCTACAATATTCTTCTGCAGTTGTCTGTTTTGCTGTTTGCTGCTGCAGACAAGGAAAAGCAGTTATTTACAGAACTCACAATTGTTCCCAGACTGCAGCTGGGACTCCTCAGCAGCTTCCTCTCGGGGACAAGAATGAATAAAATACTTAGTATCAGCATTCTCAGGAGCTTATGAAAAACAGATAAGAGCATTTTTGATAGGGCAATTATGTGATACGTCAGCTCCAGACCTTGGTCGCTTGCTGAAATGATTCTTCCTGAAAATCACTGCTTTTAAGTAAAAACACTACTATGCTGTCTGACATTACCTAAACTGGCTTACCAAAAATGTACTAACTAAACAACACCAAGCCCTGTATTTCTGCATTATAAGACCTGAACATGCAAGAAATCTTGCATGGCCTTGGCCTTTGCCCACGGCCTTTACAGAACATTCATACGTTCTCTATCCTGACATTGAAGCAGCTATCTTAAGTTTTGGTTCTAGATGGTATAAAAACAGCAGTGAAGCACTCCTCTGCAAACATTAATTTTCCATGACGAAGTAGAAAAGTAACAGGAATAATGATGAAGGAATCCATGGAGGATTTGGAGGATTTGAGATGCACAGAGAACTCAGCTTCTCCTGTGCAGAATTACATGTAAGAACTGTCCACAGATAATACATCTCCACTGTAGTAGGTGAAATGGATTTTAACTGTAGGATGAAGGACAGCTGGCAGCCGAATCCTCCCTTGAGATAAGCCACCACTGACACAGAACACACAGTCTAACACCTGTCTCTAAATCAGAGAGATTTGATTTGCAATGAATTGACTCAAAACTCACCTTCTAGAACTGACTGAGTATTTGTTTGATGGGTAGTATTTGAGACTTGTGATCTCTTATCTTCATCAGTCAACTAAGTCCAAAAAGCTAAAAAGTTTGAAGGCAAAACCTTGTACGGAAAAGTAGCATGGCTTACCACAAATCTCACAGACATCTTGTGGTTTTGGTTTTATAAAAACAGAGGGAGATGTGAGCCAATCTCAAAAAGAATATGTGGATCAGTGAGGCAAACTTATTGCTTCACCTTCAGTGTGACTGCATTGTACTTCTGGTAATTCAAGGTGGGCTCGCTTCCCTCTAGCCCTTTCAGAATCAGAAAGTAATTGATGTGTGGATGACCACAACCTACCATGCTGAAGTTTTTTGAAGCCAAGTGTTCCAAATCCTACAATAGGTTCTGAACCAATGCGAAATGGTCTGAATGTCTCAATTCCTTCAAAACTGTTACTTTTATCTCAATGGAGGCTATAAAAGCTAGAAAGCCAACAGTGGATGTCTTTGCTCATGAAATCATGCTTGTTTGCTTAATGGCTTCTATGCAGGATCTAGGCTTTACGATACATAACACTATTTGCTGTTGTGGTGTTTTGCTTCATTTTTTAGGCCAGTGCACACTAAAGAAAACAAAAAGTCACTCCCAGGTCCCTGAAGACGGAAAGGGTATTTTTCAAGATTAACAGCTCAACATTAAATCCTTCACAGCAGACTTCACAAGGAAGATCAGATCCCTGAAGGTAGGATATTTTTAGCATATTTACCACTATTTTTAGCAAATGAGGTATCTTACCTCCTTAAAGCTAGTTTTAGCTGTATTTGGCTACTTGGAAACAAACTCCTTTCTTGCGTGCTGGGAACCTGCCAAAAAACTTAGTGTCTCACACAGCTGGAAGTTGCATAAGAACAGCTGGATCTTGCAGCTAGCTACTGTAAACTGTGAGCTCAGAGAAACATGCCCTAACCCAGAAAAGCACAATACACTCAGTTTTATGCCTGCTGATGTACTTCTGCACAACTTCTTGTCATAATGGAGAAAGGATACTGAACAGCTGTAAAACTGACCTTCCAAATACTCTGGCACACCTGCCTTGATCCATGAGGCAGGGGCTACCATGGCTGGTATTTGCTATGTGCAGCCTGATCCGTGATCAACTCCTATAACAGACAGTATTTCTTTTATCATGAATGCAGATGGACAACATCCTCCAGAAGTTTCTTCTTGTTACTGATGATCTCTGAACACTCTGAAGTCATGACACTGTTAGTTAGCTGTGAGGGGTTATTACTTTGGGAATGCAAAGCTCTACCTACAGTCTGGATCACCGTTTCAGGCACAAATGCACACCAGAAGTTTGCATTGTAGTCTGGATGGTAAAGGCTGTTTGAGCAAGAATAGACAGGCACCAGGCCTATGAGGTAATTACCTCCTCCTTGCAGATCTTATGAGCCTATAGGGGTATTACCTAGTAGGATCCTTGTGGCTAACTGGATGAGATAATATTGGGGAGTAGTGGTCAAAATGGAACTGATGTTTAATTCAGGTCATTCTTACCAAAATATTATGGCTTTTAAGAGGCAGCAGAATTGATTCAACATAAGTACATTTACTAACATTGAATTTCACCAGGGCCAGGGAACGTGTAAGGAGGTAAACTTTGCAGGGTTGCTAAGGTTGTAGAACATTCTTCGGAGGCAGAGATGACTAGTACCCATCACATGGGTACAAGACACCAATAATACTGAGGCTCGGGAAAACAAAAGGAGATAGTTAAGGATCCACAAAGAATTAAAAAATAAATCGCTGGCCATTGTTAAAAAAAAAAAATTACTAAGACTAATCCTACTGAGAAAACTAAGAAATCCAGAAAGCAAAACCAGGGGATTTTTCTGAAATCTGACCCAAAAAAGATGATTTGATGCAAACCGTTCCTTTATAAAGAATTGGACATAATCAGCAAAGCCATTCTGTCTTCAGTGAAAAGAACAAAGAACCTCAGAGTCTGTACTAAATGCATACACGAGATCAAGAACCTACCAAACCAAAGAGTCATTTTTCAGAAAACAAAACAATTAAAACTCAGAATAATCACATATAAAAAAAATTAGAAAGTCATCTGACTGAAAACTGGGAATTCTCTAAGGAGCTACTGGCGGCCTAAAAGCCACTGTTCCATAAGAAAGGGGAACAACTATTAAGGCCAGAAGATCCTTAATAGTTCATAGGCAAAGTAAACGTAGAGATTAGAATGAACACAAGTTTGACACAATAGGAACAAATCCATTCAAATCAGAACTTAAGGATCTCCTTGCAGGTAATGACCCTAAAGCAGCTCATAAAAAGTATCTCATAAACAGATGGAGATGAGACTTAATTATACGGTATTAACACTTTCTGAAGGAGAAAATATCCAAAGAGGTCTTTAATAAGGTACAAAATCCAAATAAGCTTCAATGTCTAGAACACGGTCAAAGTCAAAGATCCAGTCAAACTACAAATAGAGAATCACTTCAAACAGCAGGGTAATCAATTGTGGAATAAATCATCAAATAAAGCAGAGGGTTTACAATGTATGGAAGCTACAATAAAGACTGCGTATAGCTTAGTAATCAGCTCATTGGTCAGATACAGATTATCAAGCTCAACAAAAGCATAACAGCTTGAGGACTAATGAATGCAGAATTTGAGAACATGAGACTATGATCAACTGATCTCATTGATACAGCACTCATTTTATCACAGAGTTCAGTACAAGGCAGCTGAGTTTTTGCCAGATGTGACCTGGCAGCTGTACAGCTGTTAAGAGAGTCCAAGCTCTTCATTAGATGAAGCATGAGAACTCGCTGCTGTGGCTGCATAGCTTCTGGATTGGACCCCATCCAGCTGAGCACAGACTAAGCAAATTTTACAGACAACGTTAATGAATCCTGTAGATACATAATGTGAACAGAAATAACTCTCCAATGTAGCAAACTGAGGTATAACTTGATTTCAAAGAATCTAAACCAAAACCAAGTCTGGATTTGCCTTACTATAAAAATCCTGCATTAAAAACTGGATGTTACCTTGAAAGTATGTTATTGCTCAAAAACAAGTATTAAGACTGTATGCAAAACCCACTGGATATAATTTACTGTTCCAATTATGTAGGGATGTGACTGGATGATCTTAATGCCTCCCTGGCCTCAAAACCTTTGAATAAACAGAACGACTGCATCATCATCAAACGTGCATTAGAGATGAAGTCATATTGCAATCTTCATCCGATTGTGCCAGAAAAATACCGTCGTAACAGCCTTCTTACTGGCACATATCCAAATCAAGACAAGATAATATTTCACCAATGTACACCTGCTCAAACTAGATAGAGAACTTTTGGGTTGTGGGGAACCTCACTCAAATGCACGTAATTATTTTAGAGGCCAAAAAAAACCCCCAGAAAAGCATAACTTGAAAGAACAGCTTTAAATTGAGCAGACAGAAAGCCAGACAATTTAACAAGAGGATTAAACTGAATCCCTGGATTATCAACTGCATAATAAGAGATGTGGGTGGATTTTTGGGTTGTTTTTTGGTTTGTTTGCTTTTTTTCTTTAGTACTGTAAATTCATAGCCTTTGGAACAAAGCAAGAATCTTTGTTCCCCTTAGAAGTCTCTCCTGTCCTACTGGAATTCTTTTCAGATGCAGGTCCCGCCAATGAATTAACATATACTTTCCATCTGAATGCATAATGTATGCTGTCCTACATTCCTTACTCTCCAGTAAGATCTTTCTCTTTTTTTTTTCATTTATCTACACAAGCTGGAAAATGAAGGAAAAATTAGTGAAAGGAAATAAAGTAAAAAATGGAAACATGAAACTATGCTCTATACTTTCAGGTGAGGAGACAAAAAATGGGAAAGTATGTATATTAAAGTGCTTAATAGGATGTGGCTGTAAATTTAGCTTGTGGTTCTTTAACAGGATGAGAGGAGAAAAATTGGAAAAGAGCAGCAACAAGTTCTACTATTTGGTTTATATGATTTTCTCCACTGTTTGCTGAAGCTTTTCTGAAAGGTAAAGCCAGAGGGAACTGACAATATAAGAGAGGAGCCACACTGCATATACTAAGCTACAGTTTCATTAGAAAGTCAATCTAGCAGTAACCTACTCAAAAGATCAACCACTTTTTCGTGCTTCTTGGGAGAGGGTGACCCCTCTGCCCTCACTATTATAACGTTAATCCAGTCACAGGAGTGCTGTGGCAGCACTGTTCTCCCTTCATAGATGTCACATGAAAGGGCAATTGACTCTTAACTGTATCAAGTATTAGGAACTCCACAGTATTCCTGACCCTCTCCAGGAGGTGTCTTCTAGTTTTGTTCAGTACTGAAGACTTCAGACACACTCTGCTCACTTGTCAGACTGAAAATAAGAATTTTAGAACCTACTCTACTCATTAGGATCTAGGGGTGCTACTCAGAAGCGGAGAGCAGTATTGGTTTAATTTTACATTAGTGCTTCCCTGATTGTAATACGACAACATTCCATATATATTCATAAATGCAATATTGTTACATGAAGGGAAAAATTATATAAAACATAGATATATAATAAAGATGCACCTTATATATAAATATTGTATATGCTTACCCAAGGCTTCTCACAAGCTTTGCAAATTCTAAAAGACATGTGTCTGAAGGCAGACGAAGTTGTCCTTCAGCCAAAGCTAGCTGACAGTCTTCAAATGTATAGTCCGTCACTGAAACTCCCAATGCCCTTGAATAAACCAAAGAAACACAGTAAGCAAGATAATCTAAGAAAACTGAGCAGAATCACCACTTTTTTTTTTAATAGTAAGAAATCCTGTAACAATTATGCTCTCTATTCTGAAGAACAATAAGGAAGAGCCCATAAAAGAAAGTTCACATACAAAGAATGAAATACAGTACTCTACCCATTGTGGAACGTCTATTTTTACTTTACAAGTAAAATACTTGATTAAAATAGTAATAATATTACTTTAAAAATACTTGATTAAATTACGTGAAAATATAAAAGAACACAAGGGAAAAACTGGGCAGTGCATAGACTAAAATTTCTTAATACTTTCATAGAAGTGAATAACAAGGGTTTAAAAATTATTAATCTAGAACAAAATCACATATTTATTAATAATTATGTTAAATATTTATATTATTATTTCACTAATATATTAAGAAATCAATAATCACTACAGCAGAACAACTATTACCTTCAGGTAATATTAAAGTTATAAAGCAGACAACATTTCTCTATAAAGAATGGCTAGAGCATAAAGCATAAAAGCAAGTAGAGTTAAACTCCAAGCAAAGACATATTAAAGTGTATGACATAAGAAAGGTAGAAGAAAAAAAATACACCCAAGTTTTTATATGCCAAACAATTAAGTACTTATTTTGCTTTACATCTAACTTGATGCTCTCTAGTAACAGCAGCACCAAAATATACTTCAAGGAAATACTGATATTGTAGTTCCACTGCATTTGCTGTGCCAAAGTTGAAAGAAAGACACTTTGGTTGGAAGAAGACTTCAGGAATTCAGTGTACAAATGTAAGATGCAATTTAGAAAGCAAATACTGCTCCATGTAAGTTACTCATCTGCCATGTTTTCTATTATACTTGATTTTGCGTATATTAGTACAGAACATTATCTCGTTCGTGCAGCCTTTTCTAGTTTGAAGAAGTCTTCACAAAATTGTTTTCTTGACTTACCTTCATTCTTTTCATCTACAGGTTTTTCTACGTTACTACTAACGAACTTTTTCATCTGTGAAATTAATATACCATAACGGCAAGATTGATAAAAAACCCCATGGCATGCCACAGTCATTTTGGCTTTGATGAAAACTCTGCATTCAATTCTATGCTTTATCATAGACAATTTGATCTGTAATGGCAGCTACCTCTCATGCAATAACCACTTAATTTCTGTTAAGTCCCCAGAATCCCGTTACAAGGCCTCTCTTGTCCACCAATCAATTGTCAAACTTCAGGAATTCTAATACACTAGTAAGACATGCACTTAACATTAAAGCTACTGATCAGAATTTCTCTCTTCTCTCTAAGGCTGAGAAAAGAAAATATTCAGGAATACCACCTCACTAATAGATATTCAAGCTCAAAAGTACCAAATATGTTAAGAAATTAGATATTATTTATAAGCTGCTTATGAATAAAACAAGAGCATATAGGGTAGTGATTTTGAATGAACAGCCTCCTCCTTTCAAGAAGGAACAAGAAACAGCAACAAACAAAAGGAGAAAGCCAACTAAACCAAAAAGATACAGGTACATAGAAAAGGCATCTTAAAATCCTGCAGACTGCTAAGTCTAAATTGCCTCATATGGGCGATCCTAAGCAATTAAATTCCATTTCTCCACATTTTTCACTTCTTGATCCGTTCCTGCTTCATCATTCTACTTCTCCTACGAAGTGTGTCCTAGAAGTATTTGCCAATCAGTAAACCACCTCAATAGAATGGATAAGAGGTTCTTGTGGTATCATATTTCATTCCATAATCTTATGGTCAACATAGGAATGAATGTTGTGTAAAATCCAGATGAAAAACTGCCCTATGCTGTGGGGATATAAATCCATTTCCAAGTTACACCTGACTTAGAGATCAAGTATTGCAGGTCCTGTCAATACCTATATTGCATCATATTCAATATAACACTGTATTATACAATATGAAATCATTAGTATGATACAATACAAAATCAATTTTCCTTGGAAGAAGAAAAAGGGATGGATGAAAGAAGGAGAGTCTATCCTGCCAGTTTAGATTACTTCCTATTCCCTCTTTTGTACTGTATGCATGCTAGATCATCCTTATAAACTTCCCTGTCAACTCTCAGTGAAATAGCTGAACTCCCTAGGACAGCAAGGACACACTATAAGCAGTACTATCCAGAGCAGCTTACATAAGAGAATGTGGCAATAACCAAAGATCTTGTCCAGCCTGGCACATTACACCAAATTTCATCAGATCTTAAGGCAACAGCAGGTGTAGCACACAAAATAAATACAGGAACTTACAGGCAATCAGCTGAAGCACAGAAAAGGGGAAGCTGGTTAAAAAGAAGTTAAAAGAAGAAACTGAAAGGGTAAAGTGTTCATTTGTGGTACAAAACCACATGCCATATTAGGGAATCAGGAGAAGTGACAAGACACTTATCAAAAAAGATTCTGAAAGGACAAAAAAAAATCCAATATGACTTGGCAACTGATTAAAGGTAGCAATTAGAACTAAAAGACTTTTTCTTTAAAAAAAAAAATGTTCTCAAGAAAAACAGAGAAGACAGGCAAGTTAAAACACAACCATAAGGCAGCAAGCCAAAGTAAGAAACAATAACTTGTTAAAATTAAGAGCTAGAAGCTTTTCAAACACATCAAAAGAAAGATGACTAAGAAAGATCAGGCCACTCAACCTGGGGGGAAGGTAGAAGCCTGACTGCCATCCCAAAACCAATGCCAAATTTGAATAACTTCTCCTAAATAATGGTTCCCAAACATGTTGAAAGATCCCAGCCAAAGAGGAATTAAAAAAACAAACACAAAAAACAACCAACAACTGAAACCAAACTTATGCTACAGAACAAATTCCAAACAAAAGCAGGGATTATCTCAGACTCAGCCAAACCATAAGAGGAAAAGTACAACCTGCATCTTTTTATAGCTATGGGCACTTACAGAAGGGGCAGTATTTAGACCAGACATATAGTGCTATTAGTACAGGAAAATTCCCACTACAATTAATGCATGCATGTATGCCCACTGTCAACACACACACAAAACAGAATTGAAAAGCATAAAAGCATCTTCTCTTGCTCACCTGTTGGGCAATTTTATAGCCTTTGGACTTCCAAAAAAAGCAAAATTTTGAAAGAGTGTGTTTATATATACATCCAGACTTTCAGAATTACAAAGATCAGAAGTAAAGAAGGGGAAGAAACAACTTTTGCTCACAGTAAAGCTGAGTCATAGGATCAACCAAGGCCAGACAAATTAGAGTTCAAGGGGCTCTTGAGTTCAGAAGATAAATCACCAGCTGTATAGGGCTAGCAGTTTAACACAAAAGGACCTTGATTTCAGCTCAAAACATTGGAGAAATTGAAGCTGGGGAACATAAAAAGTTCATTATCTGTGCTAAGACTTGTGAATTTTTCAATTTCTTAGAATAAAGACCGACATACTAGAGTTCACTGTAAAGCCTGGGTACAACTGCAACTCACAGGATTTTCTACAGAACCAGTAACAAAACTATTCCAACTCATCTCCAGGGCAATATTCCTCAACTTCAATTCAACTACTAGGAAAAAAAAAAAAAGATCATTTCAATTTGAGATGTGAATTGCAAGTGCAACCCAGTATTTTTAATAAACTAGAAATATAACAGCTTTTCCCATATCTTCATTTGGAAGCATTTTTTTCACCTTTTCATCATACTATGTCTGCTTTCACAGTCAGTTAATCTGAGTCTGGCTTTTTTATTGTTCAGCAATTTTATATGGGCAGATGTGCATGTCTGGCTTGACACACCTTGAGACTTTCTCCTTCCCTCCCTTCTCCAAAATGCTGGCTATTTATCTGTCCTGGTATCACACTACATGACATTCCAAGGTCAGCAAGTTACTTCAAAAAAATAAAACTAAACAAAAACTCAAAAGCCTTCTTGCAAACCCAATCTATTACACTCAATAGTTGTACTTGTTATATACAGACTTCTCACACCAAGCAGCTCCCTAGAGTGTGCAGTCACAATATAAAAATAAATCACCAGCTTTCTCATTTTCTGTATACCGATCCACCATGCATACAAAATTCTGAACATAAACCAGACTGTGACTGCTGTAATATTATGCAAAGTGAGAAAAAATAGTGCAGGCAAACTTGTGACATTCTGAATCCACACTTCAACAAAAACATTTTCAAAATGTTTTACATTGTTAATAAGCAGAACTGTGAACTAATCTAGAAAATATTCCACAGGCTGCTCAAAAAACCAACCCCTTAAATGAGCTATAGTCTTTAGAGGATGCTGAAGATATTAAAAGGATAGCAAATTTGTTTTATGTTTAGGAAAGAGACACACAAAACATGGTGGACAAATAACCCCAGCTTTAGTAGTCATCTTATAGGAACTTCCTTGCTCACAAACTAGCAGGGCTTATTGACAGGGCTTTAAACTAGACTTGAAGGGGGAAGGGGATAGTATCAAGCTTATCCATGACAAGTTGTGGGATGATGTGCCAAGGTTAGAGGGATGGGGTGCTAGGGAGGGCCCTCAGCCTGTTGCTTTGAGACCTGCTGGCTAAAGTGCAGCACATGAAGTCTTACAAAAATGAGCCAGGGGAAACATCAGTGGAAGACCTCAAAGGAACAAAGGGGTGTTCCTCCAAAATAAACATGGTGATGGTGTCAGTCATCGGTGACATGGCCAACAGCCCAGCTGAAGTGCCTCTACACCAATGCATACAGCATGGGCAACAAACAGGAGAAGCTGGAAGCCACCGTGCTGCTAGAAAGCTACAACCTGGTTGCCAGTACTGAAACTTGGTGGGATGAATCCCACCTACAGGCTGTTAGGGAGGGATGGAGGGAGGGAGGAGACGTTGCCCTCTACATCAAGAAATGGATAGTGTAAAGAGCTGTCGCTGAAGAATAGCCATGAGCAGGTTGAAAGCTTGTGGTACGAACCAAGAGACCAAGGCAACAAGGGGAACCTTGTGGTTGG